TATTGGGCTGACAACTGAGAAAGGAAAACAGACAACAACATAGTTAAATTCAACTGTTCCAGCCAGGACGGTGATTTACATTTATAAAAATGGTAGAGGGTGCAAGGATTTACTCGATTCAATATACATGAATACTGAGCAATTCATTAACATTCTTTACGTCAAGACATGCATTCTCTTCATGGAAAGAAGAGATTTTACACTTGTTTTCAAACAGTTAGACAACCGATTTGAAAGTTTTTTAAAGTTAATAGATATATGAACTAAACTTCTTATTGCTGTCAAACTGGCCACTGTTCTTGTTTTTCCGGCTGTCTGCCCGCATTTCTTCCGTGATCATTTTGCATTGGTGTAGATAAATGACATTTGGTTTACTCAGAATAAAAAGTTTACAGCCTTTTAGTTGCTTTAATCTATGTCCCCTTGTTTTTCAGTCTCCCACTTGGTGATGAGAGTACAGGCCGCATTCGTGATAAGTCAGTTGGAATGATTGCTGAGGTCAATATTTATTGCCTGGAATACTCCAAAGCTAAGATTTTAAAGCAACTGGAAGAGTCGTTGACCAAACAGGGAAATATATCCGCTCTCATTGGAAAAACTCTTCCTCAAGTTCTGTTTCGAACAGGTAAGTTCGTGCACATATCATCTACCCAACCAGACTAACAAGGTCCCTGCTAATCCATCGCACGGAATGTAATGAGGAATTAACTTTGAACTTACGCAACCACGTACATACAGGACGGGAGGGGAAAGAAGACGGGAAATGTTGTGTGACAAGCGTGACAACAGTTATGTTTGGAAAATTTTTCCGCCAAACTTTACCTTCCTTTAAAGAGATGTCTTTGTAAAAGTCGATAAAACACCAAGATTACGTGAAAAACAGGCAAAACATGCACGTAATGGGCGTGTCACGTTTGTCAAACGCAGACGGTTTGCCGTCCTCCTCTTCGTAAGGAGCTCTCAAGTTTCGAACTTCTAGAGTTGTCTTCTTAAAAGTTTGTTCGGTCAAGATGGCTGTGAAGATTGGCCTCGTTCTTTTGCCTTTTTATGAACCTCGACTACGCGTCAAGTCAGTTAAAACGAACTTCAGGCCAATATCCAGCCGCCAAGACCACATACTCTTTCAATAAACCTATATTGCTTCAATTAGTTTAATTTGCTACTGACTCAGAAGGAACCTAATCATGACCTTTCAGTAAAAACGTGGTTAATGTAATTTCTATACTAACAGCTTTTAATCAACGAGGTATACAGAAGAAAGCAATTTTAGCTCTCTATCAAATCAGTATAGTCTAAACAGCAAAATCATCCGTAAGAAAAATTTTGGTTGTATATCGTGTTTTTCTGAATTCCCTAAATGACAAAGTCCATATCGATTTTTGAGTATTATTGTCTTATTTTTCATCAGTTAACGAACAGTGCCACGTGCTGAGAGTGAATGTAAGTCTTAACAAGGATCCTCGGAACCCCACTGTTGTAATAGTTACTAACAGCAAACCCAGATTTCTTGCTACAGCACATATTAACTCTGAATGCAGAGAAATAAAAGACTTACTGTACAGTTGGGAGGTGGCAAGGGTAGACAAGATGTTGGGTATGTTTGATGGAGCTTACCTATCTAGCCCCGTGAGCGAGCAACAAAACAGTTTTAGTGTTCCTCTTGGACAATCCGGATTACATTATGTAAGGTGCCTTTTAAGACGTCGTTCCCGAGGAATACATATAATCACCTATGACTTTGGATTTATTGAAACAGTGGCTGTGCGCTCATTGCATTGTAATATAACACCAACAAAAGGAACGGCTCTCTTGGAGACATTTTCGCTTAATTGTAGTGGTGGATACGAAAACGTGGACGCAGTAGCTTACACCGTCAAGTTTAATTCAAGTAGGGGTCCTTCGGTTATAGACTTGCGAACTCCAAATGACACTATCCGTCTTCCTGCTGGTGACCATTTGCACGATTACACATTTCGGTTGAACGTGGAAGCCCATTTTTCAGCACTTCAATCACTCCACAGTTACGTGTTTGCAAAGGTATATGTATTCACTAGTTTATAATAATTATAGATAAGCATAGGCATGGATACCTGTAGGCAAGTACTCTCTTTGTGTCCTTTTTCAAAATGTCGACGATTAATAAAAACAAAAAATAGAAAAACCATACAAAAAGGACAAAACGAAAATAGGGATAGCTGAAAGACGGTGCAGGTTGCTATGTAACTCGCTGGCTTTAACATCAGATAATTTTTCGAAACACTATGCGATGTTTTCCCCGATTTTGCCACGCGTGAGAGCTTCCTGAAGAGCTCTGTCTTGTGACCAAAAGAGATTGAAACAACACCATAATAATTAAAAAACTAACCTGAGATCAGGCCCAATTTGAGCGGTTCTCATACATTCTCTCTAACTGCTACCGCTAAAATTGACCTGATCCAAACTCATTCACGTTTGTGCTCGTTACGGCCAGATTTTGGCCATAACGCTGATTGGCTGTTAGAACAATGCCACAAGATGTGATTGGCTTTCGGAAACGCTGGAAGTTGAAAGCGCTTATTCCTCGCGTGGTTGTTTTCGCGAATGATCCGTCGTCGGTGGAGATCAGAAGGATCGATTTTGCTGTCTTTTTTAATGTTTTATGGTCTTATGGTAGGAAAATATGCCTTAATATGTGCCATGGAAATTCAGAAAATTCATATGGTTGTTCATATCTTCTCAGGATTTGCTTTAGTTACGGAAAGTGAGTGTATCGCGGAGTTGAATCCCTCTGCAAGTTGTTGACCGCTAACAATGTGCCTTTTGATTTACCAACAAACGGATGCAAATTAAAATACTATCCATCTTAAAACTGGTTTCATTTGAAAGTTTAGCCGGGAATAACTTCTCTGAACGGGGTACGCAAGCGGAGGCTCACTGCGAAAGAAACGTCAATCGGCCCAACTGTGAAGCATTAGACGAAAAATATCGCATCGCTGTTCAAGGAATTTTCAGTGTTCACAGACTGGTTGTTTGCCTTCGCTTTTTGTAAAAAATAAATCAGGAAAACTGGTGTCCTTGCTCGTTGGCTGTTTGCTTTTGTTTTTAAAGATTTATGTACTGAAAATCGGGGGAAATTGCCGAGGAAAATATTAAGGCAACGGAAAAATTTCAGTATTTTAAATTTGAGCGCCTCTAGCCAAGATAATAAAACTAGTAGAGCATCGTGTCGCCGTCTTTTCGAAAACTTTTTACCTTGTACTCCAACAGAGATAACCTTCGAGATCTCCCTTAAACTCGCAAGAAGTTAAATGTGATTGTGCTGACTGTTTTATTTTTAGCTGAAAAAAGTAACCGATAAAAACTATTTCTTAAGTCGCCAGTCTGCATTTTTCCCACGCGTGAAAAATTTGCATACTAGAAAAACAAGCAACGGAAGTAATTTTGGTTGGCTGATTCGGCAAATGTCAATCAGTCAAAAAAGTGGGCGGCAGACGTTTCGTAGAAGGTTTGTAGCAGGCTCTCTTTTCGTTTCGCCATGCCCGCCGGAAAGTTAGTTACAAAGCGAAACGAAAATAGAGCCTGATCTCAGGTTATTAAAAAACTGAAATCACTAACGTGGAAACCATTTGGGAGAAGAGGGCAGGAATGATTTGAAAAATTAGCTAAACCCTGACAAAATTGATCGTTTTTTACTTTCAGCTTTGTGGTTCAGAGATTGCTTTTAACTAAAAGAAATGCATAAAAGTGACATGAGGAGATTGGTTAATTACACACGGAAAATCGAGTACAATAAATGATGCCCAGTGTATTCTTTCAAAAATCTTCCTCAACATAACGTGTGTTGGTGCAAGGAGCAACGCTCTTTCGATTATTTGATGCAGCCTTTCCCAAACACATTGATGTAATGGGGACTTGCTATTTTTCAGGTTATCATTCCAACAAGAGAAGACATTTTCAGTAAACCTTGGTCATTAGGTGATCTTATAGACAAAGATTCTTACAGCATGTCGTTTTTAATTGCCGAAATAGAGGACTGGGGACTCGACAAATCGTCCAAAACAAAGGTTAAATGATATTTCTTGGTTTTACTAACTTAAGATAAAGCTCTAAAGTGTTATTTTCTGTAGGCGTGGTTCAGCTGAACTGCTTCTTTGTTTATACCATAATAGGATCTTTGTTTCGCGCCTTGAGTACCATTGTCGTAGTTTTTCCGATTACTCTTTATGAGCTTAACGTTATAATTGACGTTCTCCCCGCCTGAAATAACAGAGTTATAATGATACAACACGGCAATCTGCCTCCATATTGTAATAATTTAATTTTGAAATTAACGAGACAAAGCTTTTAAGCCTTTTTTAAAAAGGCTACGGGATAAACCGTCTTCAAAAAACCCTAATTGGAAATCCTTTAGGAATCCTCGTCTTGAAATATGTCCATCCCTTCTTTTTGCTTACTGTCTTAGGAAGTAATTCTGCTTCCTTAAGCGATTTGGTGACCAATTCCTGAAAATGAATTTATATTTAATTCTATTGAATTGACATGAGGAAAACCTTATTTTAGATATCATGGATCACAGTGTAACTGCTATAATCGGGCCATCTAGACAAGATTGGCTATTCGCATTACAGGAAATTAACGATACATCTCTTAATAGTTATTTTGTCATGGTTGTAACTTGACGTACTGAAACATACCATTTCTTTTCCTTTTTCCGTTTCAAGATTAAGAGTGCTTTGATTCTCAGTTCAATGAAGACCGAGATATATAGCCTACTTAATTTGAAACGAGAAGCAGACTGTATTGTTTTGGTTAATTCTATGAAAGACGAAACCACAAACGAAATACAGGTAAAGATACGTCATGCTTTAATAATTTTCCTGAGGTCTCAGTTTTAGAGGCGAATTACCCCTTAAGTTACTGCTCTGTTCATCAAAGACTTACCCAAATTGACGAAGATATCAACCACAAACAACATAGCTTCAGTTTTACATGTAGCTGCCAAAGGCAATAAACAATATTGCCGTGTTTAGTTATGTGAAAGATGTGTTGTTACTACTTGAACTGATACTTGACGTACAGAACCCACACTGTTTACTACTACAAACGAATACGGACGTTTTCTCAGTCGCGTGGTATACCAATACACACATACCTAAATCAATATAGGTTGTCGTGGCAATTGGTCATTATCAATTTGAAATTGGCCATTTGGGCATACGGAACTCACCGCATTGATTTGCTTGAGTGATCACCAAGCAATAGCCTTCCAGTGCGCAATTCTCAATGCCCAAAACAACGTCCATTAAATCATCTATATACAGTAATCTCATTACTAGAATCCTGGCGGCAAGCAGTGGCGCCATTGTATGCAGAGGTCGGTGCGCAGTGTTAATAGGGACTGTAAGATCCAACGACGCGGACGGCAAAGAGAACGTCAAAAAAACAATAGGTTTTATAAGCAAAACAACAACTTGGCACGTGCATCACGCTTTTTTGTACAATTCTTTGCCCGTTTTTGCACGACTACGACGTGAAAATGCCTAATTTCGCCTTTTATAGAGTACGTAAACAAGCAACGGCGAAATTTCATTTCTCTTTCCCAACTTGGATATGGTCCCTAGAATTGCATTCCAGGAGGGTTCGCCCACATGTGACATAGTAAGTGGCTAGGAATGATTGCGATAAAGACTGAAAGCACGCAAATTAACTTTTTAAGCGACGTTCTCATTGCCGACGCGTCGTTAGATCTTAAAGTCCCTAATATAAGATGTACACCTTTTGCTGTTCATTACGAGAAAAGACGCAATCGTTGGCGTGAAACGGCGACCAATAGTTTGAACATACATTCATTAGCGCGAAAATACGAACATATGCGCATAAATCAGATTCAGTTACGATTTTTGAATTTTAATCAACATTCAATAACAATTTTGGGCATTCATATGGGTCATTGGGCATTCAAAATAGAAACATATACTTTCATTAACGCCAACATCAAAGTCATTCATACCATCTTGAAAGTGAATGGGGACAACTGACATACATTAAAGTGCAAACACTATTCATTAACATTTTTATGACACTGTTTGCAATTCAATAGCATTCCTGGGCAGCTTTAGAATGGATAGAGCAAACAGTAATGCACTTGTACAATCAATTGAGTGTTCTTCACATTTAATATACAAAAATCGATTTTCAATTAAACTAGAAATTCAAACAAATTTTGCCTGAATTTCAGTCCGTTAAATGTATATCCCTCAAAAACCTCGCTATTTAAACATTGTGGAAGGTAGTTTTGCGTGAAAAAGGTACCCCTTAGCACATTTAGCTGCGGTCACAATGTCATGTTTCTGCGCAGAGCTTCAAGCACTACAGTTGTTGTTTCCGAACTCCGCTAGTGGGATTGCTAAGGCTTTGCTCTCATTCCTGTTATACATCTGTAAATTTCCGGACTCGAGATGTCTGCCTTGGTGTCGCTTTCAGACAACTTAAATCCTTTTCAACGACGTCGAGGGGGGACGCATAAGCTGCGTACGTATGGGGCGGGAATGGCCAAATCTAGGTGGGCTGGCACCCCATCATATGCAAAGACCACCGACTTATCGGGATCCATTTTCTCCTCGCCCGTGCCAGAAAGTCACCCAAAAATCGACACAGTATTCATTAGTCCAGCAGCTGCCGAGGAAAACATTTGATAGGTGATTTGTCATGGTCATAGTCAAGTTTCGTCCTCGTTGGCCGCACACTTGGCGGTACGCCTTCCACTCCCTGTCGCGCCTCACCATGACTTCTGGCCGTCTGGGGGTAAATGTATAGCCGCAGCCGTCGACGAACACAGTGGTGAAGTACGGCGTGATTCTTTAAACAAATTCAGGCCAATTTTGGGGGGGAATTGGTATTGTTTAATTGAAAACAGATTTTTGTGTATTAAATGTAAAGAACGCTAAATTGATTGTACAAGCGCATTAATGTTTGTCTTATCATTTCTGAAGCTGTCCAGGAATGCTATTGAATTGCAAACAGTGTCATAAAAATGTTAATGAATAGCGTTTGCACTTAAATGTTTGTCTATTCTCCCTAAT